TATTTTAATGTAATTATTTCTGACATATATCGCTGCGGACATCAAATTAATGTAGAATCAAGATTCAGTACACAGTGCAATTTTAAATGCAGTACATGGGGATATTAACGATGCAGCTATTCTGGTAGAAGTCCTATGAAGATGTTATTCCTTTGCCTGGAATGCTCCACAGTATGGTATTAAACATAGACACCTTTCATTTATTCAGTTAAGTGTTTTAAGCCTTCTTAGTGTAAACTGGGTCACCTCTTCACAGATCTGACTTGTAACCTGATTGGGTTGAATCATCTGCTTGTCTCTAAGGAAGTTGATTAGGCAACTATCATCAATATCTCCATGGAGACAAGCAGGTGACAGACCCTCCTCAATAACGCTAGGTATCATTAGGAAGTTGCCAGTATGATACATACCTCGATACATGGGCCATGATATGATACACATCTCGATATAGTGAGTGTTCGATTCGATATGATATATTTCAAATCGATTCAATACGGTTCAATAAAAAATAATGGCTAAATCATGGCTGTGATACTAAAAGTCTTTTTTAAACCACTTCTTGTGCAAATTTAATATGAAACACAACACTTTAATCATCAAAACAGTGAAAATGTCAGATGTGTCACATAAACAAGTTTCCTTCCACTAAACAAGCCACAAAACTGTAGCGCTGTAACAAAATAATTTAGTAAAATATAACAAAAAATCCTCGCGATATATCGATACAGCAGAACACGATAACAATACTGTATCAGCACATTAAAAGATATGATATATCAATATTTTGATATTTTTGCACACCCCTACTCCTCAAGGTTGCACAGTGCACCTTTAACATTTAGAGCATGACTCAAATAGGAACTGCTCATAAGTAATTTTTTATTAATAAAGGCAGTAAATCATAAGCCAGACTGGTGCCACCTAGTGCCTCCGCTCAATTTCATTTCTCTCCAACAACTAGGTCAGGAATCAAAATACACTAGATGGTTCGCAATAACCCCGGAAGTGCAAGTTCGGGCACCAGCCAATCAGCGAAGAGCCATATATTCTGTGTTGGCAACGATTCCCGAGATCGAGGATTTAAAGCCGAAACAAAGAGAATGTTCGGTGAATTTCATCAAGGGGAAAGACGATATTGCCCTTCTCCCTACGGGCTTTGTGAAAAGCTTAATATACCAGTTAGCCCTGTTAGTGGCACATTACATACGTGACCAAATAGCGGCGATTGCTAAAAAGTACCCACCTACCGTCGAACGAACGAATTCTAACACTGCGAGGTCAGACGGTTTCTACGAAGTGAAATGAAGTGAAACCGGCTGAATCAGGCTAGTAAATCTTTACACCAAGATCTGTATTCAATAAAATTATACTTCCAAATAATGATTGCCTGTGTCAGCATAGTCTTATATAAACTCATGGGAAACACTGTCATGTAACCATTTAAATTTACAGTCAATTTTTTTTTTGCATGTGTATTGATTATAGTGTTATTTGCAACAGTATGTTGTGCTTATCACTGTGAGAGCTGTCCTATTATCACTCTATAGACTCTCCCAGTGCACAAAGCCACCAGCACCAGCACCACCAGCAGAGGCAGTGGCATAAATGATCTATCCCTGCCCCCCACCTCAGCACATCGCTCATACTGATTCACTCACTGTTTGCATTGGCCATCTATCTGGGTCCAACACAAGAGGAAGAGACACATGAAGATGCATGGCTGTTGGGAGGCTGCAGAGGAAGAGATATGGACGAGGAAATACAGTACAGAGAGAGAGGAAGAAAGAGAGGAGGAGGAGGAGAGAGAAGAGAGGCAATATGAGCATAGAAATAGTACTCGGGGGCAGAGAGAATGGGGGTTTATAATTTTGATTCTTGCTCAGAGATTAAGCGATTGTTAAGATAACCATGCCAAGATTTTAGCTTTAAAGGCAAAACTGACAGTAAGAAGGCATAGTGACAAAATTAGGTTGCACAGTGTCTTAAAGGGCTCATATTTACTGTATTCATTAAAAATAAACTTGTATTTTTTTCTGGTGGAGGATTTGCTCCTTTTGGAACTGTGGAAAGGCACCTCCACTTACAGGAAAAATGTACGTTTTTCAAATGTATTTTCTTTAGCAATAAAAACATCTGTAGTTGAATAAATGCACTTTAAATGTTACATAGAGCAAGTTTATAGATAGTGGAGAGGCAACCCCGCTCACAGTCAGAATGCCTGTTTTTCTATATATTTTTGAGCTCTAAAACCGTCTGTAATTGAATAAATGTAAATCAGAGCTGTTTAATGTCATTCTGTGGAGCATTCCAGATAGAGCAATAACGTCTCCATAGAAACAAGCAGGTGACAGGTGACCAAAAAGTGACATAAAGCACCTTTCATGTGACTATAGATTCATTTGCATGTAGCATAATTAAAACATATTAATAATTCTGTTCATGCACTTTTGGATCCTGAAAAGTGATTCACCCATATTATTAAATTTGAATGTAATAAATAAAAAGAGCTTAACCAGTGAGAGAAATTAACTTATACTTAAAAGAAAATGTATTCACTAAATACTATAAAATATGCAAATAGTTGGTGCATATTTTGTGTTTTGTAGGCGAACACTATCATAGCATTGCATTTGAGATTTTAAAAGTGAAGTCTGTAATTGACATGGCCATTGTGAGTGGGCGGGGCTTCATTATTGAACAGCTTTTGAACGATGTATTTATTTATTTAGTATATGAGCATGTTTTTGGATGATAAAAGACTCCTGTGGCAGTGGCAGCTCAAATTCATGGACGTCCTCTTTGCATGGGCCTATAGTGGGGCTTATAGACACAGAGCTGTGGGAGTTTATGGTTTAGAAGATTTGGCACAAAAATGGAAACAATCCTCCTCCAGAGACAGTTCAGTTATTAGTTACTTCTAAATATAATTCCTACTTTTTCGGTATTGAATTGAAATCTCAGTCTGTATATAAATTTACTAAAACTTGACATTTGAGAAATAAAATAATGCTAACTTGTTTTTTTAATGGCAAATACTAGGGCTGCAACTAGCTATTATTTAATTAGTCCATCAATTTATTTCTTTTGTAGGTTTTTTCATATATATGTTTAACCAAATAAAGGGAAATAAGGTGCCTGAAGACTAGAGAATATTTACAAATAATGCATATTAAAGGTGCATTGTGTAACATTCATGGAACAGATGTTGTTGCTTTGTCCGGAATGTTCCACAGTATGATATTAAGCCTTTTTATCTTCACGGAACCCAAACCAGACCAAGTTACAGGTCAGATCTGTGAAGAGGCAACCCCAATCACAGTCCAAATATCTGTTTTTGTAGGTATTTTTTAGCTGTAAAACCACCTGTAATTTAATAATGTGTTTAATGTCATACTGTGGAACATTTCAATCAGAGCAATGACATACCCATAGAAACAAGAAGGTGATTTTTACCCAAAGTAAAAAGTTACATCGTGCTTCTTTAATGATGAAAATCTGAAATCGTGTATTCTTTCTGACATTATGGTTTGATAATGGGTTTTAGAGTCTGTAGCCAAGGTAACAATTACGATGACCTACATACAAACATGAGATTTTAAAGTACAGACTCGTCATGCTCATTCTGATGAACTATTGCAGCCATATAGCGAATACTTTCTTCAGTCTGTAGATAATTCTCTTCTGTAATCACTTCAGACTTCGAGGTTCTAAGTGTGACTCACCATGAGCTCATCCTCTCTGGTGCTTCACCTTATTAGCGCTGGGAAGTCGAGTCACCCAAAATAATCAAGTCGTGTTACAGTATTTGAAGTCATCAGGTCACAGCTCTTTTTTTATTTATACCTGTTTATACATTTTGTCTCAATATTTTACTCCTCCAAACTTAGAGCTGCTTGAATCATAAGGATGTAAAATCACTCACGAGTACTTAAATGGCACCTAATGTATAGTTCTGGTATTTAAATATTGTGTGTTAAATGAAGGTTTGTATTTATCTTAAAGGTGCATTGTGTAACATTTCTGTTGGAGGGTCTGTCAGATGATGAGATGAGAGATGAGATGTTATTGCTTTGTCTGGAATGTTTCACAGTAGATTAGATTTAGATTAGATTTACAGTATGTGTTTATTTTGGGCAATTATTATTATTTGCGCAGTAAGAAATTTACATTATTTTACAACAGAACATATCCCATTAATGAAATCATAGCAAAAATAACAACAACAACAACAACAAACTGGCCCAAAAAGGAGTGGGAAGAAGATTAATCCCAACCCCTCTTCTAATCTAACACTAAGAGCTTTTTTTTTTTTTTTTTTCCCAGATTTTTTCAGATATTCTACATTAAACTATATAAACTATTTACAAGTGCAAACAAAGAGTCACTGTTATAGATTGATAATATAACTGTATTGCAATAATACATAAGGACACCAATAATAGTAATGGACAGCACATACCAGCAATGGTAAGGAAACGACAAGCATAAACCAGCACTACAAAAGGCAGTATTGTTCTAATATCAAGACCTACTCTCTATATACTGTGTAGAGAGCAATGACATAGCCATAGAAACAGGAAGGTGATTGACCCCCTACCGAAAAGTGACTTAGTGCATCTTTAAAATGGAAATTATTTGCTCTGGATCAGCTTTGAAAAACTGGCATGATGACATATTTATTTATATGGATATTACATTTCATTGTTTTGAGTGTACTATTGATTGTGTCTAAAAATTCCACAGAAGAAGTATCCTCGATCAATACTTTTAATACATATTTCATTATAGTTTTATGCCATTGTTCTATTCAAATAACAATAATCTACTAGCACACCTCCAGAATTAACAGTTCAGCTCTTACAATTTGGCTTTGGGTTATTTCTAAATGATTTACTGACACTTTTTCTATCCTTGCATCACCTTGACTCAAAGAAAAACACTCACAGATCCATATGCAATTGACTCCTGACAATCACCCTGTTGTTTTTGTGTTTTTGTAGAAGCTGGCCCGAGAGGCGGAGCTGCTACAGAAGGAGCACGTTTGGCAGGACGGCGTGACGGTAAAAATCTAAAAGCTCTTCTGTCTCTCCTCTGTAACCAACCTGTTCTGTTCTGTGGTTTCCCCCTCCCCAGGCCCTGGTCTCTGTCATCTGCTCATTCACATCTGCCCCTTGCCCCCTCCCTGTTTAGATATGGACCTGTAATGATATCAGCATCACAGAGTCACCATGGTATGACACATAGACTAAGATTAGGTAGAGGTGGAAGCAGCTTTCAATTAAATATACTTTCACAGAACTAGTTAGTTACTCAGATATAGATACTGACAGCTAGATTTGTTTATTGATACTCTCTCTACTGTGGTTTTAGCACCACAGCTACAACTACAAACTATTATATTACTCAATACAAGAAGGATTGCATTTCATTTTGCACAAATACAAGTACAACTTAAAGTGCATATCACTGGTTTGACACAGCGCAGCAAAGATATGTAAATATTGCATAAATGTTACCTAGCAACCATAATGTTAAAAGCCAAAAGTCTGAATTACACAATAGTTATGATTAAAATATCAGCCCTATGCACTTTAACTTCCACAACATTTTTTATAAAGTTAATGTGTGGTAGCGAGGTATCACAGCTTAAAAGTGCCCTGGGAAACTTTTCTAATGGAGAGTCTGCTACTTGCTTGTCTCCATGGAGATGATATTGCTTTGCATGGAATGTTCCATGGTATGACTTTAAACATTTCCATCTAGCATTTATTCATAATAAGTGTTTCTGTTGCTAAAAAACACAATAATTTCTTCTGTGAATATGGGGCAACTCTCCACAGATCTGGTTTGTAATGTAGCGAAGTGCTGTAACCTGCTTGTCTTGCTCATAATAGATAGGTTTAATCTATACTGTGGAACATTCTAGACCAGGGGTGTCAAACTCAAATTCACAGAGGGCCAAAATTAAAACGTGGGACTAAGTCATGGGCCAAACTAAATATTTATTGAACATTTTCAACAACATCTGCATGTTTTCTCTTCTTTCGAGATATGTAATGTTAAAGATTTTCTTATTAAAATAAATGTTTAATAATAGTTTTGCTTAAACACTGAATCCAGAGCATAATATAAAATAATAACAAAATTTTAAATAAATAAATATGTAGCCGGTAGGCCAGCTCTAATACATATTTGATATGATCTCGCGGGCAAAATATAATTGTATCGCAGGCCAAATTTGTTGAGTTTCACATGTCTGTTCTAGACAAAGCAATAACATCTCCATGGAAACAAGTTGGTAGCGGACCATCCTCCATAAAGGTTCCATAGTGCACCTTTAAATTAGAAAAAAGAAAAAAAAGACCATATTTCTGTTTTTTACCCCTGTAACAGCACCCAGTCCCCCTCCACCTCTGCTGTAGGGACATTCTAGACGCCCACTCTGTATTCTTTAAGAGCTCCTGTTGGTTTGGTTCCAGGCCACAGCGACTGGAGCATTACATCTCTCCACATGTGACCTTTAAAACAAGTGCACATCCGCTCTTGAAATCTCAAACAGGAGAAATGGTATCACTCTGAGTTTGTCTGTCTGTTTGTGACTTCTCATGCTTCACTGACTGCCAAATTTGCTAACACTCAAATGCTTGGCGAACTTGCATGCATACTGATGTTTCCTACACACACATGGTTGTATATATAGCCCCAATAGACAAGTCTCGGCTGCCGTATCCTCTGTCTCCCGGGAGACGCGCTCGCTGTCATGGTACACTTCCCACAAATGGATTTTTAACCCCGCGCCTCCTGGGGGATATTTGAGAAAAGGCTTTAACTGATTTAAAACGAATAATTATGAGCCCTAGTTTGCTGCAAAGTCCATTTTTATTCATGGTTGCTTACACTCTGGAGCTCGTGCTGTGCTGAGCGGTGCACCCTCCGCCCTCCTTCACTGCTGTCCTTCTATATTTATAAATGCACACGACCAAACTAAATATTACAACCATCTGCTTATATATATTCTGCCCCAAACCACTGTTTCTTTTTTAGACTACTTTTGCTTAATACTGACCACTGCAGAGTGAGAACTGAACAGGACACAAGAATTCAGAAATATAAATTAAAAAGTACAATCAAGTAGTCTGCATCCCACCAAGAAGTATGAGGTGGATAGAGTAATCAGAATTTTTGTTGAAGAGTGCTGTTTTGCTTTACAATGTTACATACATATATATACATTTTAGATGGAACAATCATTTTTGAGGGTCAATATATATCGTAGGGGTCTTTTTTGTTATTTTGTACGACAATAAGATTTGAGCTGTTGCTGTATACATTTAGAATAGTATTTTGGGGATAATTCTACTTAAGGGTTATTGTGTCAGTGGCATAAATTGGTTTCAATTGTCTATATTTTCTTCAGCAATATATCATACTTCAATTTTTTTTTTATCGTGACAGGTCTATAACTAAGTTCAGAAAAAAAAAAAATGTGTGTGTATATGTATATGTATATATATGTATATATATATATATATATATATATATATATATATACACACACACATATACACACATATACACACACATGTAAAGGGTAAATATTATCAGGGTAAGGTAGCGCAACAAACAAGAATATTACAATAGTTAAGTTTAGTAAATGTAACTGTTCTTCTGTATCGCTGTTGTACATAGCAGTCTATATCACAGTTTGAGAACCACTGGTACACCATAGCGACTTGGTCCTTCAGTTTTATGCTTCTTTTCTGCTTTTAACACGACAACTTTGGAATAAAACAACAAAAACATTCACCTGTTATGTAAGATATTCCATCCACAAACATTGGTTCTAATGCTACGGCTGATCATGTGTACATAGGGTCTTGAGATGCACTCTTTGATCAGTCTAACCAAGCAGGACCCCAGGCCACAGTGACCGCACACACCTTTCCATACAAGCTGCAGCCTCCAACATGGGGTCAATACTTCATCCAATGGAAAAGCTCCGTTTGAAACCCCTCACCAAACACCACGCTCAATATTTCACCCCTTTGATTCATCATTTCTTTTATTCCGTCCACTTATCTCCCATCTTTCTTCTCATATACACTTCTTTATCTGCATGTGTGTCCAATCAAGCAACAAAAACTAGCCAGAACCATATGATATTGTGGCAAATACTGCAAACGAATTCTAATGTCTCGTTCCTATTAATAATGTATTGGAGCTGATTTCATTTGCCTTTATAATTAGTTCAGGTAATGAATCTCGGCAGGGGCGACTTTGAAACCATTAAAACATCTGAAAAAGGTGGGAGGAGGAGAGAGGAGGAGGAAGATGTGAGGAGAGAAGAAGAGAGGGATTAGAGAGAAGGAGGAAATAGGAGGAACAGGAGGAGGAAAGCGAAAGAGGAGGAGGGAGGAGGAGTGAGGAGAGGAGGTTTGTATGCCACATGCCTGCAAGACGATTTTTGCCGTTGTAGATTTTGGCTAATTTCTCTCTGGATGAGCGGCCTGCTGACTGACACACTAATTAGATTAGGGAGCATGCTCTATGGGCATATTAGAAGAAATGTGCTGCATCTTAAACTAGCAGCTGGGGTATTGTACTGAATAAAGGCCTGTCTGCAAAGTGTGGGAATGTAAAAGTACTGGACAAACAGTTTGTGCTAGAAATATGTATTCTGAATAATGTAATATCTGGCTCTACTACATAACTTCTTCTTATCAATTTATTGCAACCTCAATTTCACAAAAACTAAATGACATGTACTCACCAATTATTTGGATAAGGGTGTGTCCAGACCAGGGGACTCCGACCTTTTTCTTCTGTTGAGCTACATTTTCAAAACAAAAATGCCAGGAAGCTACTAGTTTTTTTGCGGTCAGAAGAAATAGAACATATATAAGAGCAATGGTGAGCCTTAGATGAGACACAGTTAGATGCCTATACATAAAATCATTATCCATTTATTAGTCTACAAAGTTAGGCAATTAAAATCATATACAATGGTAAAAGGCATTTAATCAGATTTTACATATTTACAATAACAATACATGTAATTCAGAAATCCTTTGGCGAGCTACTTCAAAGAGGTTGGAGAGCAACTGGTAGCTCCTGAGCTACAGGTTGGAGACCCTTGGTCCAGACCTTTTTCACTGCGGTGACCCAAGAGTGGAATGAGGACCGCTTCAAAAATATAACATGTATTTTTTGAGTTTAACACTTACATTTAAAAATTTCTGTGAATAAATCATTATAATTTAAATGTGTAATATGTCTAATTTGGTATATTCGATTATGTATCCCTGTATTCAAGTATTCACTAATGTACTACCATTACAACAATTTGTTTATTTTATGCAGTTTTAGTATCGCTATTATTTTTGCAAAAAATATATACGTATTTACTCAAGTACCAGTGTAGATTCTGCTTACTATTAGTATCCTTTTGCAAGAACTTGCAATTACAAATGCCATTAATGCCTCTACTGTTACGCCTTCCAATATAATCACCATAACTAATGACTGATCCTTCTAAAAGCATCACTATGACCACAGCACCACTATTAGAAATGATAACTACTGCTACTATTACCATAACTCTAACTCACCCTTATAACAGACCTGCATTACAAGTAGACAGTAGCCTATACTATGGGTTGCTCCGCTCTGTGTCCTCTACTGTGGGGTTAAGCGCCGCTCTGTGCTTATTTGTATTTGGGGGATACTTGGGTATTTATTTGTATGTGTTCATTAACTGCAGACTGGTACCTGGCCCAGCCCATCTGCTCCCCTCCAAAACATCACAGAAAGTCAATGATACGCCTGCTCCTCTCCGCATCTGCCAACACAGCTGTCACAGCAACCAAGAAGTCCTCCAAGCCGTCTTCTTCTGCGCGTTTAGGCACACGCGGACACTCAAGTATGCCCCCTTAGTTTCTGAAAGCTTTCGTGGGCCAAGCGTCGTGGATGTCTAAAAATGTCTGTGATGGTAACAACCGCGCTGATGGCCGATGAGGGTTTTAAATCCATTGGAATGTAATGGTGTGTGAAATGGACGCTA